GTTGTACAAAACAAATGTTTGGGGTTTTTCTGCTTCAGGGTTCTGCGGTAGGACCAGTTCTGTTTACGTTATGAACTCTCTTTGTTAGAGTTAGCAGGAGCTGCATGTACTGAGAGGAAACTTAAAGCTCGCAGAAACTGTCTACAGTGTTGGCCTCTTATTGGTGGATGACTGGATATGTAAAGCGCTTTGGGGTCCTTAAGGACTAGTAAAGCACTATATAAATACAGGCCATTTATTGTGAGTTTTAGCTCCAGGCTCACCATGAATCCCAGACTGTTCAGAAACACAAGCTGGATGCAGCTTTGGCCAACCTCCAGGAGAACATCTCTCATCACAACAAAGTGAAGGAGCTCTTCTGTCATAGTGGTCATCACTGTGTCGGTTACCTGTAATGCTAAAATAAAGCTGTAGCAGAGAGAGCTTGAAGGCCACCACATCTGGTGCTGCCAGAGTCCAAGACCAGAGCAGAATCTTTACAGTGACCCCAGTACAGGACTTTGGATCCAAACCAATGGCAGAAATGATTTGACTTGGACCGGGAGGTGACATGGATGAATGAAGTACAGCTAGATCCTAATCACCCAGACACATTAGGGAATCATTTCCAGGTCCATCACTATATGTGTTCAACAGGACGTTAGATTTGATCTCACATACTTAACGGTACGAAACAGTAAATGAAGTGTGATGTATTCATTTGGGGCACAGAGTGGAAAAAGGTGTGTCTGAGCATGTCCAGTGGTGCTTTTTATTTCTAAAGTAACAGTTACACATATGAAAGTTTAAACTGGACCCATGGAAACATGAAAGCATCCTGTTCCACAGCCTGATGAATGAATGCGATTGGTTGGACAGGTGTTCTTTGTGTGCGTTCTGCTTGTCCAGAGACTTGGCACGTGAACACATGGACAGTCCGTCTAAGCTGGGCTTCATTCAGCGGTATCGAACAGCGCTTTAAATTTACACAGATCCATTTGAAGGTTTTACAGCTCTAACGTATAACCTGTGAAATAATCAGCAGTACTGCATTTTACCACCAAATCACCAGAACCCATTTCTGTAATCCCAGGAGTTTGATTCTGTTCATCTGGACATTTTTAGTGGGACAAACGTTTCATCGTCAGGTGACTTCTTCAGTGTCAGCTGACTGCAGGTTTCCCCAACCTTAGACACAATCTGAAATCTGTGAGGTCAGTTTCTTCTTTCACCATCTTACAGTGCTGTAATCACAGCCATTCCCCAACTCTCTGTGAACTGTACTATGTCCAGAATCAGCCTTTTGGGATTTCCTTACCTGGATGATTGAGCATGCATCAAGACCTTTCTGCAACATTCTGCTACCTTTTACAACACTGTAGCATTTTATTCATGTTGTTTATAGATTTTTAATCACCAGTGGATAGAAATAATTTCCTGTGCAAGACAATGAGCTACATCAAGTCATATAAGCTGTTCCTTTCAGATTGATAGAATGCTACCAACACCACCTTTAATGTCAGCATGCAGGGTGTGAACACAGCGAGTTGATAACCAGCTTAACAGTTTATGGTGACTGCTAACATCAGGGTAAGTGGATTCAGATAAAAAACCCTGGGTATGTCTGTGAAGGTTCTCAGACATCCACGTCATCGTAGTCTAAGGAGCTTGGAAAGAAAAGCGTCTGGACTTCTTTAAGTTACTTGAAGACGTTTCACCTCTCATCCGAGAAGCTTCTTCAGTTCTAAGGTCAAATGGTGGAGAGTCCCAGAATTAAACCCAGTGGAAGTATCCCACTGGGTTACTCCTTCGTACCTCTTTGGGGGGGATACTTTGGGGTGAAACATCTTCAAGCAACTTAAAGAAGTCCAGACGCTTTTCTTTCCAAGCTCCTTAGACAACCCTGGGTATGTTAAACTCACTTTATAGAATAAGTCCCAGGTGAGATGTTTAGCATCTGTTACCATGGCGATTCAACAAGTAAAACAATATTGGCCTTATCGACACAGCTAGCTAACACATGGATGTGGCTCCACAGTTATAGCCCTCTGGGTAGAGAAATGTTCTCACCAGGAAGAAGTCAAAGAACTCCTCAGTGAGATTCAGCAGGGGGGTGGAGATTCTCTGAAGGTCAGAAGTCAGCCGTTCACAGACCGCTTCAAACCACATCAATGCCTAAAAGGCAAACAACAACATGAAGGTAATGTGACGCATGACATCTGACCCGATTTATTCTGACAAATTTAGACAGATTACTTTAGCAGTCAGTCCATGACCGATGAGCATCTGCAGGTCTTCTTTGTTCTCTGCCAGAATCCCCAAAGACTTCAAGACAAGCATAGCTCTGCTGAAACCAGAATCACGCAGCTCCTAACAACCAAGCAAGCAAACAGGTGTGTGGTAAGACTCAGTCATGCTCACATCACTCTGATGCTTTATTGATCCTGCAGTGGAAACGGACGTTACACAAACAGGAGCATAAAGAACACAAACCTACTACAAACCAAGTAAAACGTACCACAGAGGCACGCTGAGGCCTTTTAACGTCAGGCAGGCCAGACGTTTCACGTACAACAGCGTGACTCAAACACCTCCACATGGAATACTTTGTTTGACATGAAACTTTGATTATGAACATGTCGGGTCTTTATGGCTGCTTGGAACCTTCCAGAGCGCTTGCTTTAACATGGACAAAACTAAATGTAATCAGTGGACTTTCCACATCAGCTGGTATGAAATATGAACTTATCGTGCAGATTTTTAGTCCCAAACCCAGGCACTCTCAGAGGCATCAACACAAAAGCCCATTTCATTTAGCAGACAGACTGAGGAGCATGCTCAGTCTGACTTCATTCTGGCCAATGATTTTCAGCCAATCACAGAAAACATCCTGAGGTCATGTGACTTGTTAAAGGTAAATGACATCATTTACCTTTCTGTTCATCATTTAAACTTCATTGTTTTCTAAAAGCTGTAACAGGAGGATAAGATGATGCCTGAGCTCTACAGCATCTTTATGTTAACTTTGATCTAACCTGTCACCAGGTGAGAGGCAGGTGCACCTGAATGGCAATGTGGTGGTCAGCTTGGCCCAGACAGGACGTTTAATCTTCCGTCTGTAACAGCACCAACTGTTGCACCACCCTGACCTCAGGACAGGCACTGCATCAGGTGGTTTCTAATGGCACAGGTCAACAAACCAACACAGTGTGGGCAGACACTGCCCCTTGGTGGTGAAGGTTTTTGTTAAATGCATAAACTTTTAAAGCTTAAGTGAACATTTGTGGTGAACATGGAGAACTCCTGTCTGATAGTCATGCATAGAGAACAAACAGTTACCCCCTTACCTTGGTAACCAGCTGGTCCAGCCGGGTGAGGGTGCTGCTGGTCAGTCCTTCATAGTAGAGCAGAGAAGCCAGATGGGACGTGTCTCCATGGAGCATACAGTCCTCCACCTGAACCTCGAACTGAGCGACAGGGAGATGCAGGTGTGTAAAACCATCAGACATAAAGTGTGCTCCCTGCACCAGACCCCACTGACATTTACTCTGATTTAAGAATCAGACGTTTGTTTGCTCCCAGTTTAAATGCAAAAGGATCACTTCCGGTGACGGACAGCAGGGGGCAGTACAGGCTGGACTGTGTGGCACAGGGGTGGACAAAATAACAGAAACACCCGCAGAAGCTGCTGTTAAACACGTTTTTAAAGCTAAAAACGATTTTGAATCGATATAGAAGCGTTATTGATTCCTAGTATGTGATGTCATCACCCTGATCTATGACGCACTGCAGTTTTCGGAGTTTCATAAATCGAGCAGGGAAACAACCAAAGTTCATAAATATACTTCCAATCGATACTTGACTTAATGATCAGTGATCATATCAAACTGTGAGTTTACCATCGCGTCTCCTCGTCCTCCCTCAGCTTCTGATGTGACGGGGGCGCGCACAGCTGGAGGTCATTAACTCATCACAGAGAAAGTAGTTCCGACACGCGAAGGAATATCGGCTTCTTTTTTGTGTACTTTGAGATTCTCACAAAAAATTGTAAATAAAATTAATGAAAATCTTAAAAATCAACTTTCATTTAAAAAAAAACTGTTTTAATGAGAAACACCAAAAGTCTCTCTCACACACACACGGAGGCGGGCGCGCAGGTGAGCAGGTCATCAGGTGTGTCCTCTAATAGATGACTAATGAATTTGTTTGTTTTGGGAGAAACACTGACGTGTTTACACAACACACACGGACAGATTTTTTCAAAATCAGCTTATTTATTTAGAAGAAAAATAATTAATAAGAATAATAAACAGCTGTTGTTATTAATGTGGCTGTTGTTCAGAGCATTGATTGATTATTGGTGATCGTCACGAGGCTGCACACTTGTTTTTGTCTCGTTTGTATTTTTAGTTTGTTCATTTCCACATTGACCAAAAAAATTTTAACTTTGTTTTATCGTTCTTTTATTGAGTCTGTTTTATCCTTTTGTTTGGTGGCATGGTTTGGTCAGACCTCTGTCACAGAGAAAAACTCTCTAAATCAGATAGTGAGATGGTCCAGTCGTCTGATAGGTGAGCCACAGTCTTGTTTAGCCTCCCTGTACTCTAAGCAGGTACAGAGGATGGCTTTATCAATCCTTAATAATGGTTCCCATCCTCTAAGGGGTGAATTTCAGCTTCTTCCCTCAGGACGGAGGTTTCTATTTCCGAGATGCAGGACAAAGCGTTATAAAAATAGCTTTGTCCCCGTTGCTGTCACTGAATTAAATAAGAACTGTTTTTGATTCGAAATATTAAAGTATGTGTCACAGTGAGTTTTATATATTTACTAGGTATGTGTGTTTTTAAAGGGATGTCAAATGCTGTCATTTTTCTGTAAAGCAAATTTACCTTGCCTTTAGGTATAAATAAAGTTACCTTACCTTACCTTACCTAGTTTTTCTTCCTCTCTCACCTGTACACACCCCCTCCCGCTCCCTCTTCCCTCCGCAGGCTCGCGACTCTCTCACCTGTCCTCTCACTTCTACCTGAGTCCTCTACAGAGCTGCACGCGCTGTCCGGAGTCACGCGGATCATTTTGAATGTTTTATTTCACCTGCGGACTTCCGGTTTGAAAAGAGGTTTGAAAACTTTTAATTTGGCTCAGATTCTAATTCTTTGATTTCGAAAGAACCATCGGAGAGCCGAAGAGGACAGGGTCAGGCCCGCCAGCGGCAGGAGGATGTCCCGTGCCGAGGAGCGCGAGGAGGCGGACTGCGTGTGTTCCGTCGGGATGAAGTTAACGTGGGACATCAATGACCCCAAGCTGCCCCAGGTACCACGTGATCCCAGTCATCCTTTATTGATTTTAAATGTAATCAATAAAAAAAGATTGAGAGGAAATAAGAAGGAAGCTTAAATTAGGCAGACAATGAACGGAGTCTGGAGAAGCAGGGAGTCAGGGCCGGAGACGTTTGTTCATCAGTGATCACAGTTTGATCCGCTCCGAGCACAAACGCGGCAAGAAGAAACAAACAGAAAAAGCAAAACACGAAAATAAAATTAAAGTCAGATGTTTTTAATTTGCATAGAAATAATCCGAGTTTGTTTTAGAATTACAGGCCACCTCTGGAGAATTGTCGTCACATCTGGAGCTCAAATTAAATAAAAAAAAAAGTGTTTGAATTTAGTTAGATTTTTTGCTTTCGAGAAAATGAAACGAAAAAAAAAGAAATAAATAAAATAAAAATGTGAAAGAGCAGCAGGTCTGAGAGTGTGAGCGAACACACAGTGACAAACCCAAATATCCACGTTTAAAAATAAGCTTTTGAAAACTAAACAAATATCTGAAAAATAACTCGTTCATGCAGAATATTTACACACATATAAGTGTCACAATAAAAAGGAATTCGTTCATTAATAAGAGCGTACACACTGCTTATTATATTATAACATTATTTGAATTTATAAGTCTACAGAAATCAAAGTGAGCAACTCAATAAATGTTTCTTATTTTATTTATTTTGATTTTGTGAGATGGTCTAAAGAAAACGGTCCAGTGTGTGATTTACATGGAAGCTTTGACACATCCCAGCGCGAAACCACGTCCATTCCTGATGCACGTAATTATCGATAATTAACTAAAAATCTATAATGAATATATGATGCAGTAACTGACATTACAAACACTCAGTCGTGCATGAGGAATTAGAGGAGGGCAGAGGTCGAAGTTTAAAAGGGTTACAAAATTCAATTCAATTCAATTTTATTTATATAGCGCCAAATCACAACAAAAGTCGCCTCAAGGCGCTTCAAAATAAAAACACAATATTGAAATCAGCTGTTCTGCATCGAGAAAATGTTTGTTTGTAGTTTCTGGATTTTTCTGCTTTGTATGGAACACATGAACGTGTTTGATCAATAATCAAACCATCGACCTGTTTTTATTTACATTCACAGGTCGAGTCTTTGAAAGTTTGATTGGATTATTGATCAGTTATCGATAATCGGTCACTTTCACATCATTAAACACGTTCTCCAGTATCTTATTCTACAAAACTTTATTTAAACAAACTGTTCAGAGGATTTAATAAAAAATAAAGACATTTATTTGTAGTGTGTGTGTGTGTGTGTGTGTGAGAGAGAGAGAGAGCGGACTGAAAAACCCCACATTTAAGAACAAGCAGAACAAATTATATTTCAGTTCTTTTTAATGTAATGAATGTGAAAAATGTCCGTTGAATAAAATCATGTTTCTCCTGCAGGCGTTTTTTCAGACACGTTTTTATTTATTTATTTATTTTCATGACATGCGCAGATCCAAACAGACGAGCCTTCACAAACACGTTTTCATTAATTTGGTAATAATAATCAATAATTATTATTGATAATAAATAATATTTGTATTATTACTTCAGTTCAGTGGTTTGAATCAGGAGAATGTGTCACGCGTGAAAGTTTCACACATTCCCACAGACCGGTGCAGAGTCAGAGGTTTTGTGGAGGTTGTTTGAAGGTTACGTGAAGCCGCCGTGTGACCCGCGCTGACTCGGCTCTTTGACTCTGTTTTTCTGGAGGTTGTTTGAAGGTTATGTGAAGGTTCGTGTGACCCGTGCTGACTCGGCTCTCCGCTCTGTTGTTGCTCAAACAGAAAAAACTGGTTTGTATATTTTTGTTTCCAGTGAAACCAAACACACATCTCCCATCGCACACAGCTCCCACGCTGATCGATATCTGTGATCGATCCGGGACACAGCTTTTACACTCAGAGCTGATTTTTCAGATCGAATTCAAATGATGGCGCTGATGCAGGATAAATAGTGTGGTTCAGAGGCCGCTGAGGGCCACGGCCTGGACTAGACTTTATCTGGCTTCACAGCCTGACTCCCAGCCGACTGTCCACGCTCCGTGTCATGATCCTGGACGTGGACATGGGTAAGAATGTTTGCCGAATGGTTTCGGGTCACGTGGAAACGGGGTTTGGTTGTTTGTTAATTCACTGCCTGACAAGAAATTCAAAATTTGCTCCAGAAATATTTACGCCCAAATAATTTTAAGTAATGAGATTACATTTCACGAATCGGGTCAAATGATTTTTTTGTTTGTACGAATCAGAATCAAGAGTTTTATTGCCAAACGTTGAGCAGATTTGCAACATTAGGAAATTGTTGCGGTGCTTTGTGTGAGACATTAATAGATATAAATAGACATAAATAATCAGTAATTATTTCAATAAACAAACCGTTGACTAGTCATCTACATTTAACTCAAAGTGATTCAAAGAATCGCTTTTTGGAGAGCTGCGTGAAAATATGTGCAGAGGATTTTCCACGATCGCACTGAACCAGCCGTTTTTAATCTGGGCTCCTCCGCTTAAAGTGCCGTGGGCTGGTTCATGTACCGGGCTCTCGTCTCTGGTCTCCTGGGTTTGGCCCACTATGATCCTCTGATGTCTCTGACTGGACGTCCTAAGACTGGATTCTGGAGATATAAACCGGCCGCTGTTTCAAACTAAACACGAGTGCAACTCCGTGGAACGGGCCGTGGTGTGAAGTCGCTGCTACCTGAAGACTTTGTTGAAGAAACCCTCCCAGTGAGGACAATAATAAGCAGCAAGTTGGTGCTGGTCAGACTGGAGCTGGCTTCTGTCCTGTGATGCGAGGTCTACTCTATTAGCCGCGTAGGTACCGACGTGTTCCCACCACGGCGATGAGCCGAGACGTGTCTCCAGTGTAACGTGGAAATAAAACGAGTTTAAAATGTGCGGTTCCTTGTTTGAGTGAAATGATGTAACTGAATGTTTGTATGAATTTAAGGTCGTTTTCAGTGTTTTTTCTGTTTCCTGACTGTGAGTCTGGCGTTTTTCTTTGTTAAATATAAACTTTTCACACTTTACTGATAACGCTCACACATCTATTCACAGAATCAGACAAAGATTTACCAACATCAGTAAGCACGTGTGTTTTCTCGGGGCCACCGTACATTTCACACAGCGTTCAGGGCTGTATCCGATCAGGATGTGTTACATCATATTCTATAAGGATGTTATGTGTTTGTAGACTTTCTGCCCAGTTTGACCCATTTAGCAGAAGTCAGCCTGTTTAAGGCTCTGATATCTATTCTGTGTGACTTACAGCAGTTATGACATGGTCTGATTTTCTCACCCAATAAAGGAATATTTCATATATCAGTCTACTCTTCATTCTATCAGAAACAGTTATCACAGCTCGTACATTTTCTTTTTACACATATTTGTAAGCATTGAGCCAAATTTAGTAATGCCAACATATTAAACGAACAATATTTGTCTCTCATATATGATACATCTGTATATACACTGTCACAGATACTTGAGTGTCTTTGAGTGAAGATTTAAGGTGATAGGAAACATAAATGACTTCAACTTGAATCTTTACTGAAGCTCAGTGTTTGACACAGAGTTCACTCACATGTGCTGTACCAGTGTACCTGCACATGTGATGTGACAATAGAAGTGATTTGATTTGAGAGTTCAAACTCACTGCTGTAATAACTAATAATGATTAATATAATAACTATAATATTGGCCATATTATATTTACACTGACTTTAGTCTCATGAACAACATTAACTAATTGTTATTTACTAACTAATCTTATATGACTGTTCAGTACAGATATGAAGCCCAACAATCATGTTTTACAGTCCTGTGGTCTCAGCCTCAGATACTTATTAAATCACACAAAGCTCGTGTAGAAACAAACAAACAAATGAACAAAATATGTTCTCCTTCATTTCTGTCAACTACACGTTTCCAGCTATCATGGTTGCTAGGCAACCTGGGCAGCGCGATGGAGGCTAGACCGCCCATTTCACAAGCCTCGCACTTCCGGCCTTAGCGGTCTTTGAGTACGCGGCCCTTGAGGACCGTTGAGGCTGCGTACTTTTAGACCCTGAATTGGGGTACAGCCCAGGTCTGTTTCAGTGTGAGGGCATTGGTGCGTCACACCGTCATCAGCTGATCGATCACTGCAGTAATCTATTCCTGTGTAGCGGCCTTTGACTCATAATTTCGCCTTTATTTTCATTATTATATCATATTATATTATTATGTCAGCAACAATAAATACATAAAGCGCATTGAGTCAGAGCTTCAAAGTCTTACCCGTGTGTGTGTTCGTCTGTCTGCAGGACACGAAGCAGTTTGACCCGTTCCAGGAGTGGACAGACGGTTACGTTCGGTACATTTACAGCGGTGAGAAACTTTTTCGTGTTGCTAAGATTTTTTTAAATTTTTGTTTATTTAAATTCTGTCCAAACATAAAAGACATGATGTGAAGATTTATGAGCCTGTAGGTTGATTCCCACTCAGCTTTAATCATTTTTAAACTTTATTTGACCTTCTCAGTCATTTTCTTTTAGGGAGCATGATTACATGTCAAAATATATATGTACAAGTTATTATTGTGAAATTGTTTTAAAATGTCATAAACATGCTGCAGTGTTTGGGTAATTACTCAAAACATAATAAAAGGAGTTTGTTCAGTCAGCTGAGTTAAGTGCATGTCTGACCAGAGAAAGAAAGTCACGACTTACCATGGCAACAAGTAAATAAAAAGCATTTTAGTTCAGTTTAGTTAATTTTTTTACCAATATAGTCCCAAATTCATGAGTTTTATGTTGTAGAGTAGAGACCCACAGCAGGGTGTCCAACTGTCCTGCAGGTTTTAGATGTGTCCTTGATCCAACACAGCCGATTTAAATGGCTAGATGACCTCCTCAACATGTCTCGAAGTTCTCCAGAGGCCTAATCATGTGATTCAGGTGTGTTGACCCAGGGTGAGATCTGAAACCTGCCCTCGAGGCCTGGAGTTGGACACCGCATGCACTTTGGCGACAATGGGAAGGAAAAACTCCCTTTTAACAGGATGTTAAAAATGTGAGGATTTAACGGGGAGTCAATGAAGGGAAGCCAAAACAGGAGAAATCTGCTCTCTCTTTCTAGTCCCTGTCAGGACTCTTGCTGCAGCATTTTGGATTAGCTGAAGGCTTTTTAGGGAGTTTTTTGGACATCCTGATAATAATGAATTACAGTCATCCAGCCTGGAAGTAATAAATGCATGAACTAGTTTTTCAGCGTCACTCTGAGACAGGATATTTCTAACTTTAGAGATGTTGCACAAATGGAAGAACGCAGTCTTACATATTTGTTTAATATGTGCATTGAAGGACATGTCCTGGTCAAAAATGACTCCAAGGTTCCTCACAGTGTTACTGGAGGCCAAGGTAATGCCATCCAGAGTAAGAATCTGCTTAGATACCATATTTCTAAGATTTTGAGGGTCGAGTACAATAACCTCAGTTTTATCTGAATTAAGAAGCAGAAAGTTAGCGGCCATCCAGGTCTTTATGTCTTTAAGACATTCCTGCAGTTTAACTAATTGGTGTGTGTTATCTGGCTTCATGGACAGATAGAGCTGGGTGTCATCTGCATAGCAGTGTAAATGTATGCTATGTCTTCTAATGATGCTGCCTAAGGGAAGCATGTATAATGTAAACAGAATTGGTCCTAGCACTGAACCCTGTGGAACTCCATAATTAACCTCAGTGTGTGTGAAGAGGACTCTCTATTTACATGCACAAACTGGAGTCTATTAGATAGATATGATACAAACCACTGCAGTGCAGTACCTGTAACACCTACAGCATGTTCTAATCGCTCTAATAGGATATTATGGTCAACAGTATCGAACGCTGAACTGAGGTCTAGCAGGACAAGCACAGAGATGAGTCCACTGTCAGAGGCCATAAGAAGATCATTTGTAACCTTCACTAAAGCTGTTTCTGTCTTGATTGGCTGTGGCTAACCAATGAGATGTTGGAGTTGGTTGAATACATTTTAAAATATACACCATGAAATGATTTAATTAGGAAATATAATTGCTCAGTGGTCTAAAAGTCACTGTTTGGTGGATTTTGTTTTGCAGCTGAAGATAAGAATGCTCAGAGACATCTGTCTGGCTGGGCAATGAGAAACACCAACAACCACAACTGTCAGATCTTGAAGAAATCGTGTTTAGGTGTGGTGGTTTGTTCTCGAGGCTGCACACTGCCTGATGGATCCAGACTTCAGCTTCGACCTGCCATCTGTGACAAAGCCCGGCAGAAGCAGCAGAGTAAGAAGAGCCTGGACCAAAGACTTCTCAGGACTTCCTCACCTGTGTTCACGTTCACCTGACCAGTTTATTTTTCTTGTGTGTTTCAGAGAAGCTTTGTCCCAATTGTAATGCTGCTCTGGAGCTGCTCCCATGCCGTGGTCACAGTGGTTACCCTGTCACCAACTTCTGGAGAGTCGATGGAAAGGCCATCTTCTTCCAGGTTGATTAATAATAATGGATTGCATTTATATAACACTTTTCTAGGCACCCAAAGCGCTTACAATTCCACTATTCATTCACTCTCACATTCACACACTGGTGGAGGCAGCTACAGTTGTAGCCACAGCTGTCCTGGGGCAGACTGACAGAAGCGAGGCTGCCATATCGCACCATCGGCCCCTCTGACAATCACCAGTAGGTGAAGTGTCTTGCCCAGGGACACAACGACCAAGACTGTCCAAGCCGGGGCTCGAACCGGCAACCTTCCAATTGCAAGACAAACTGCCAACTCTTGAGCCACGATCGCCCCAATTTGATTATCAGCACAACTGGTTTTCTAGCTGTAACACTGTCAGTGAAAAAAAATTGTATTTAAAATATTTAAACATGAATAAATATTTAAATGATAGCTAATAAGAAATATTTGCTCATTTTGTGTTTGGTTTAAAACTAACTGCAACACATTTGAATAAAGCAGTTATCAAAGGGCATCATCGGGTCTTCGTCAACCCTCTGAACACTACAGCCTTTTCGTGTCTACAAGTTTTTTCAGATTCTCCAAAATCTTTTGTCAAATGATGAAACACTGATGATAGAATCACAACGTTAATTGTGTTTATCTGCATTTTCAGTGAGAGAAATGTTTAATGTTTTCTGGGATTTCCTTACCTGGATGATTGAGAAGGATAAAAATCAATCTTTGGATTAAGGCTCGGATCACGCTAACGCTAACAATGTTCGGTTTGAACTGTTGAATTATCTATAGTTGCTGGTCCATCAGGTGTTTATTGCACAACCTTTACTGCAACTTTATTGAAATGTATTGCTGCATCTTTAAAAAGATTTAAGTTTTGATGTGTTGATTTTGTTCTGTTTATCATGAAACAATGATTTCCATCATATTTTATTCGGTACAGTTTTAAACAGGTTTAAACTACAACTGTCAAAATTAGGGTACAAATCAAATTCAGTGTTTTTATTTATGTATCTATTTATCTAAATGACATTTTTGTGAATTTGATGTTACTATTATTGTCCTCCAGGCAAAAGGCGTTCATGATCATCCCAGACCAGAGTCCAAATCAGAGACTGAAGCCAGAAGGAGTTCAGTAAAGAGACGAGTCAACTCACCTCCATTCACACCAAAGAGACGACTCATTGAAACACAGGTTGCTACCAATAAGCCACAAACAATAACCACTGTTTGTTCACATCTCTGCTGTTTACTTACTGTTTCCCTGTAATTTTCCCTTTAGGCTCTTGGCCCTGCGCTCCTCTCCTGCGTTGAACCAACGGATAGGATTTCCTTCATTGAACCAAACTTCCCTCAGCACTACCCAGCATTCCAAAGCCCAGAAACCTACTACAACCCCCACAATGCACTGGGAGAGAGCACACCAACACTTCAGAAACCAGCCAATCCCAGGCTTTATATGAGCAGGCCCGGATATGACTTCCAAGGATACCTGACCTCACCTTCATATCCTGTGACCTCTGACCTTTGCGACCCTAGGTTAGCTTCAGATATTCCTCAAAACAGTTTCTGGTAGTGTAAAAATAATAAAATGCACCATAAATGACATGTAAAGTTTCACAGGTTTAAACCAGATTCTGGTTTCTGTGCAGAGTGGCCCCGGTCCTGGGTTCCTCGTCGTCCTCGTCTCCATCATCAGCTCCTCTCTCCTCCTCCTCTACCTCCTTTGACCCCCAGACAAAGACCCCTTCTGGATGGAAAGAACTGCTGAAGAACTCTGCCCCCTACAGTGACAACCACCATTACTACAGCACAGAGTACCCTTGCCGTTATGCCAGCAACAACCCGGGTTCACCAGCAGCACTGCAGACCATCATCACAACGACAACCAAGGTGAGTAACCCTCAAAACCTGAGGTTTGTCTCAACTTGTAGAGCCTGCAGGAGACATGCGTAAGAGTCAGGTATGAGATACGTGTTTTGTAGTTGGACTTGCACATGGTTGACCTTGTGTATTTCACTGTAAACTGAAAACAATTGGCTGACATAGAAGCTTGAATATCTGTTTCACCTGTAAATAATGTCGTTGTCACATTATCACCTCCTGTGTTCCTCCTCAGGTCTCCTATCAACCGTGTCCGAAGCCTCCTGCTGCCCTCCCTCCTTACCAGTCGTGTCCCAAACCCTCTGTCGGCCTGCCCTCTTACCAGCCCTGCACTCCCTCCAAACCTGCTGGCCTTCCTGGCTGCTCCTCCTTACTAGACGACCCCTCCTCATCCTCATACTCCACCGAGGTGAAGGTGACAGAGGATTCGGGTGGAGTCATCAAGTCTCTATCTTTCCAGCCTGAGCCTCTTCAGACCAAAACCGAACGGGCTGACGGCTACGACTACCGCTACTCGTACCCCAACACGTACCGCTACGACGACTACTGAGGGAGCAATACATCCATCACTGTTACCACTGCCGCAAACTTCCTATGGCTGCTAGTATCACTGGACCATTCAGGTACCAAGAGGATCAGTCTGAATCCAGGTTTTGGTCCCTGAGAGACTTTCTGGAAAAATTCACTTATCAAACGATGATCTTTTACACGTCAGACGTCAGAGAATCACCTCTGGAGACGTTCAGGGGAGGAACTCAGGCAAATGGGAATATTTGCAACCAGTATCCTGTTACTGGGCTGGTGTTTCTGGAGCTCACCCTTTAGGTGCTTCTCACAAAAGAAAAACAGCATAAATCATTAAAATACTGTGTATATTATTTATTATCTTTCAACTTTCTGATATTTCCTGAAACAGGCTGACACGCTGATTCGTGGTAATCTCCAAAATCTAGTCAAGACACAACAAACTGTACAGCATATTTGAGCAGAAGGTTTTATGTTTTCACCACAAAACACAAATTTGTATTTCGATGGATAGTCTTCATATCAACTTTGGCCAAAGTTTCAAATAACAGAGCCTAACAGTCTAAAGCTAAGCTCACTGCTCTGAACACTTGGTTTCCTGCTGGGTTTTTTACACTCTGTATCTGTAATTATCATTAAATATCATATGACATCACATTGATGTCACAGAGATAGTCATAGATTGTATAACCTATATAGATCCCATCTCATCTACGTAAGATATAGAGTCACAGAATTAAACTGGCAGTGAGCACAGGAAGTCATCATGTCAGAATGAGAACATTTGGCTCCATCAGCAGACTGAGATTCATTACTGAATAACCAGCACACACGTCGCACTGTTTGTTGGACTGGATTTCCTTTATTTCAAAACCCATTTAATCATGTTTCATATTTTTAAGAACATTTTATTAGTTTCACTGGAACAAATTTCTGTGAGCATCTGAAAACAGAGGGCTGCAACAAAGGGGCGATGTCAAAGATCAAAACTGAACTATAAGTGTCTCTGTGTGCCGAGGAAGACCCTGAGATGTGACTGAAAGCTGGATCCAAACATATATATATATCCATAAATAAAGTAGAACTAAAACGTCTGAAAAGACTTTCACGTGAGAGACTTTTAAACACTCTGCAATCAGAAATCATAATGACCTGTATGCACTTGGAGTATTTATTCTATCTGTTAAAGCCACTGCCTTTTCCTGAACCTGGAAGAACAAACAACGTTTGACTGAGGAGATCTGAACCTGTTGAAGTGACACATTAAAGCAGCTGATCTTCACACTCTGCTGTTTCTCGATTCTTTCTGAAATCAAACCCACACTCATGTCTTTAACAGTATGAAACAAACTGGTGGAATGGCCCTTTAAGATCTGACAGGGGTTAAATGAGCAGGCTCTCAATCAGCAACACACAATATCGACTATAAGTACACATCATCAGTTATAATTTTATCATTATGATAAAAACAGATAAAAATGGTTCCTATAGCTTTAGTGTGAGACTGTGCTAACTATAAAATGAAACAGATTGTGAATTTAATAAAGCAACGAGCTGATTCGGGGCAGAGTGAATCAGCTGTGGTGTTGCAGGGACTTTACAGGGCAGCAGAAACCTTCAGAAGGACTGTTGTGCAGAATTAAAACCGTATAAATAAAACTGTGTTTTCAAATGGATGCTGAGAAAGTGTAAAGCAGTGAGTGGACAACAGACCAAACGTGAGTAACCTTCATCAACAACAGACAAAATAACCCAGACAAGGATACTGTTGACTGACATGAGTGTGTAGTTAATACGTTGAATGGTTACCTAGGCAACCAGGGGTCTACCTGTACCAGAGTCGGTTCAAGGTTACACAGTTTTGTCACAATGACCTTGGAAAGGAGACAACACCATGAAGTTATCAGCGTCTGTCACACAGCGACTCACACCTGGCTCGTCCTCAGTACAGTTCACGCTAATTCAGGCACGCAGATGTTTTCAGGAATATTAATATTGAATGTTAGTGGGACTTTCTTTCTTTGAGTTTGCTGATCTCAGAGCTTATTTAGAGAAAAGTTTAACAGGATGACGAATTAACATCTAAAACTGCCACAGGTGTTTCCGAGTCACAGGTAAGCCTAGTGCACAGGTGAAGGCGGCCTTTAGTGAGTCCAGCTTCATTCAGCAACATGGATGTGAAGTCATCACTGAGACCACTGTCAGAAGGACCCCTTGTGGGCTCCGAGCCTCATAGTGAGCACCCTGCAGCACAGGATCAAAGCGCTGCTGTTTGGACATCTGCGGGTTTCGGTCTGAGTAATAAATGTTGTTTTGACAAGAGCATGTCGGGACAGGACTCACTGAGCTGTCCTCAGGGTGAACCTTTATGTCCTCGCAGACGCTCTTCGACCGCCTCATCTTCCTCTCTTTCACTACGATCCATTACGATCGCTCACTCCTCAGCTCACTTGTTACCTGCCTTCAGTGTACGCTAACATCCATCAGTGGATGATTATGTTCAGAGGCTGGCAGGCGGCGGAGCCACCCAGTCTGATCCTCGCACACACACTCATAGTAAAGTGTGCGTGTTAGTCCCCATAGGGAAATAGTTCCTCTGCATTTAACCCATTCACCCAGTGAAGCAGTGGGCAGCCACCAGTGCAGCGCCCGGGGAGCAGTGTGTAGGGACGGTACCTTGCTCAGGGGTACCTCAGGGTAGCCGTTCAGTGGAGTCGAACCCCCGACCTTCCGATCATGGGGCCACCACTCTACCTACTGAGCTATCCCTGCCCACCTACTGAGCTATCCCTGCCCTACAATCCTGCAGATTACTCCATAACAAATCTGAAACTGAGATATCAAAACTCTGCTTCTGTCCAACAGCCTAAAAGAAAACACGCTCACATCATAATGCTGTACACAGCGAGGTTAGAGTTAAAACTATTCTCCAGTAGGATGACGACGATGATGATGATTTTCATATCAAAGAGATTTGAACGGTAAAATGTAAAGATATAAGATATAAATATAAGAGGATTTTCTGCACCTTAAGTACCAGGTGAGCAAACAATGTTTCCACAGGCGGGATCTTCTTCAAGCAGACACTAGGCCACGATCTTCATCTTCATCATCCTCACATGTGATAAATTTATGTGAAGGTGACGAGTCTGACAATACTCATCCAAATGCTCACGTTACACACACACACACACACTCTCGGTGATACTTCTCCTCTCTGCCCCTTACCCTGAATAAACCAAATATCTGCACCCGCCAGCAGCCATGTTTGCTCTGTCACTGTCATCAGTTGGACCGGGATGCTGAAAAGGAACATCTTTTCAGACTTTATTGCTCAATAATCAGATGATGATTGATGGAGACAGGCAGGAAACATGAAATTTTTCCTCCTGTATGGTGCCAAAAAACCTTTGAAATCAGGAGGTTTGGCGCTTTCAGGTAGTTCAATGATGTTCTAATCAATACTTGTTATTGATAAGTTACAGTAACCTGTGCTGAACGTATCCCTGCTGAGGAACACCGCATAGTTGAATTCCTGCACAAGAGGTTTCTGTCTCCTGACTCACCTGGTGCCTCACCTGTCTCTCACCTGTAAACCAGGTGAGGCTGAGTGCAGATAATCCCAGACTGTGTAATTCTATCCTTTCCCCAACAATCACCTCATCCTGTCTCCTTATCTCCTTATCTTCTTCTTTTTCTTCTTCCTCTCCGCTGATTTCCATCGCCGCTCTTTCACACGCAAATAATTTCATCCCTCCTCTTCTTCTTCTTCTTCTTCTTCTACTTCTTCTCTGCTAAATAAATCATCGTCTGCTGACATGAGATACCTTTCCAAACAACGGCACATGTGCCCTCCACCCCTCCATCCACCGATCCCTCCACTCTGATGTGGCTTCACGCTAATGGATGTTTTCAATTTGATGCTACATGGTTGTGATTCCCGACAGAGAGACAGACAGATGGAGCGAGACAGAGGCAGGATGAGGAAAGACGTGTTAACGAGAAGAATAACCTTATTGTACAATAACGTCCAACGACCGTCTTAGAGCCAGGGAAACCTGTCCAGACTTTAAAGTACATTAGAGGGTCGCTGTGGTTCACCTGCTCCATTTTAACTTTGTGTTCCCATTAAATCGACACCGTCCTCTGAGAGATTCAAGGAAACAACAAGTCTGGCTGAACAGGACCAGGTGTAGGATTAACTGCTTCTCTGGTCTCGTGTCGCTCACTTTAATTTTAAACTGTGTAATTTTAAAACTGTATATACTGTATATTCTTTGTATTTGTTATCTCACTCTTATTGCCTGTTCTTATTGTCAACGTTATGCTGCTTTGTTGTAAGTTAATTGCCCCTTGGGGATAAATAAAGTCTTTCTGATTCTGATTCTGTGTCATTCTTTCAACTCCAATAGCACGATGAGTGCAGCTGTTCTCCCAGGAGTCACAAAAAAGTTTAATGTGCAGGCTTCCCGATGCATCCGTGTTCTGACTGGGATTTCTACACTGGAACGTCCAGCTCTGGATGTAAATGAACACATAGCAATGACATCTGTGAAGTCGGGCTAGTTCACTTATAATGATGTGATGATGGTGACACAGAACAACTATGCTGCACGCTTATCTCTCACATCTCAAAGCTCGCTATGAATATCACTGTGCTTGCATTTGGCGTCACACACACAACTTTCCTCTTTTACTAAGCAACCAAAGGCCAGGTGTTGCCATATCATTTTTTGGTTTGCTGCATTTTTCAGCCAATAGGAAGAGTGTGTCATGTTTTTTGCTCGGAAGCATCTTCTCTTTGAAAAGTCTTGTTTTTTCAACCTTTCCTTCCTGTAGCAAACATGGCAACAGTACTGAGGGAAACTCTGGTTTTACTTGGTCTATCAACACAATTTAAAAACTGGTGCATAATTTGAAGTCCATTCAAGTTGAAACAGATACTCGGTGAGGGTGTGTCTTGCTGCTTCGTCATTTAAAACCGATCCTGTGATTTGGACGCTCTGGCGCTTCTCTGGCTTCCTGAGGATTTGATTGTCCTGAAAAAAACTTGAGGGTCTTCAGAGGGCAGAGACAAACACCATCATATGACATGAAGAAGGTATGCCAAGAGATGGTCCATCCACACCAGAAGGTCAGTTATTAACATGAAGAACAAGTTCCTGTCTCAGGTAAACCAGGGCCATCACAGATGACCCCTTACCCCCCTCCCCACCACCCCATCCCACACCTCCAGACTCACAACCTCTTCCCCTCACCAATCTGAGCCGTGGTCTGACTAACCCTCATCACTCAGTACACTCACACATGGACTCTATACGCAGACAAAGTCCCTTTGCACTGCTTCCAAGCACTTTTCTCTCCAATCGCTCTAGACTGTGTATTCCCCTCTGTTTGCTATTATATAATGTAATACATATATATTTTCTTTACTTTGTGTGGAGCTCGCCAACTGTTTTGTTTTACATGTTCTATTCTATTCTATAACGTCTGCATCACCTCTGTTGCCTAACTGTGGATCCACCCCTGCTGCTGTGTGGGTTTAACATTAAAATGCCTCATTTCGCCGTCCAGTCTTTTCCCATCATTGGACCGTCTGCCTTCTGCATCAGCTTTCCTGTCTGTGTTAGTTACTGTTCTGATTTAGTGATGCTGTGGCGTCCATCTCTTTAGTTTGGCATGTGCATCAGCATTATATTAAACACTCTGTGTAGGTAATAATGGGAGAGGGCCACCAACACAGCCTTTAGCTGTAACAACAGTATGCAGATGACAAACAGAATATGAGCCTATTGATTTTAACGGTCGATGATGGTGATGGAGCGATCACCGAGCGTGAAGATTTGTTCTTGAAAATCCCAAGAAAGGACAGAAAATAAGAGTCTTTTCTGTCACAGAGGCAGATACAACCAGAAACAGGTCAAAGACGGAGAAGCAGAGCTGAGGAGAGAAATCCATCTGAATCCAAACCAACGTACAGTTTCAAGGATTACTGTGATGGAGCTGGAAAAGAAGAAGATGGAGGTGTAGCTGATGATGGTGGAACGGCGGAGGGTGATGATGGAGGTGGCCCCTATAAACAGTCGTCTGCTGCAGAAAGAAGTGAAAATCGTATCAGCTTCAAAGGCAAAAAAGCAAAAAACAAAGATGAAAGATAAAAACTATCAAAGCAGACGAATGCAGCGCTCCTCGTTTACAGTTTACAGCACACATGTGGGCTGTTGCCATGTTTCCTGTGTTGCCTGTAGTGTTGCCATGTGCCTG